CTCCCCCCGCCCCCCGAGTGCACAAATTTTTGTGCACCGGGCCTCTAGTATATATATAAAAGGCTAATATGCTAAGTTTCTGTTTGACCAGTCACTATGATGCACACTGACCACCAGGGGGCAGACACTGATGCACACTGGCCATATACAGAGAAATGGCACTGCTGACAAAGCAACACTTGGCTTCCCCCCCATGGGACACAGGTCCCACCATCACCCCAGAGCGACAGCCCACCAAATCGCAGCCGATGCTGCCAAGACCCGATGGTGCAAAATGTGGCCCACAGCCTAGCCTAGCCCAGAAACGGTGGCTGTGGGTACTGGATAATGACATCACGTAGCAACACCTGGCTTCCTCTCCCCCGCGACAGGCCATTTAACAATAAATGGCACCGTGAACCTGGCACCCACAAAGCAACACTCGGTTTCCCCTAAGTGAGACACAGGCCCCTCCACCACCCCGAGTGACAGCCCACCAAATTGCAGCCGACGCTGCCAAGACCCCATGACGCAAAATGTGGCCCACAGCCCAGCCCAGCTCAGAAATGGTGGCTGTGGGCACCGGGGAATGATGTCATGTAGCAATGCCCAGCGACTAGCCTCTTTGGAGTTTCTTCAGCACAGGAACACGATTTGCTTTATAGCCAGTTGCAAACATTTTACAGTTTAACCAAATGTCTGTGAAGCGTTTTCACGTGCCTCATCTCTGTCGATCCTCACAGAAGTCCTGGAGTAGGTAGATAGGAGACTTGGTAGAATCCTATTTTCTTTTCATTAGCCAGAAAACAGAGAATTAGAAAGTTTAGAAGCTTGACCAGACTGAAAAGAAGTAAGAAATGGTGGAACTTGAAAATGACTTCAGGTTTTCTTACTGCATAGAATATAGTCAAACACTGCTACAGGTAAATATTTCACCCTTTGATCTCCCTGAGTGATCTACAATAATAATCTCCTTCATGTTGATATTTACTGCTGTGTTGCTGACAATTACCTAAAAGAGAAGTTGGGGTGCTTCACTAGGCTGGAAAAAGTTTAGCTAAATCAGAAAGCAGGTCTAATTAAGCAAGTTTGTTCTATATCTATAAAAGGCTAAGTTGACTCGCGCATGTGCGATACATATAAAGCTTTCATTGCTGATCATGAATTTGGTTGACACTTCTATTATAGAGAAAAGGTGAATAGCGATATTAAGATATTTCTTTTAATTAATTTCCTTTCAATGTGCACGATTTCATGCACCGGGTCTCTAGTAACAACATAAAGTAACAACATAAAAGCTTAATTATTTTAAAAGTACCTGAAGTCGAGCATTCATAAGCATGAACTCCTGTTGGTTTTTCATGTTTTCGTTCATAGATTTTGAGAATATAAACCCCATCTTGACCTAAATATAAAAAAGCAAAGAAGTTTAAAACAATACATTCTACATGCATCCCTCATGTGCTGTGCCTTGGAATATTGTGAACTTATAACAATGTAAGAAAAAAACTCTGACCTGGGAACACAGTGTGGATTCTAGTCCTTGCTCTCAACTAACTGTCTGATTGTGGGCAAACTTAACTGGCTTGGCTGTCACTTAGTAAGACCAGCTGATTGAACTAGACGACTTCCAAAATCTTAAAAACAAACATACAGAACAACTCTCTGGTTGTGTGTGTGTGTGTGTGTGTGTGTGTGTGTGTGAGAGAGAGAGAGAGAGAGAGAGAGAGAGAGAGAGAGAGAGAGGATATCGTCTATTCTCTACCTTCTGTATAGTTGGATGAGAAAATCTTTGTTTCTGAAGAGGGGTGATGCAGAAGATGCATCATGCACTTTGAGGACAGATTTGTCTGTGCATTTGTGTTTTAGGAGGTTTTAAATATCTCAAAGTCACTATATCAGTACTCTTCTTATAATTCCTGCCCCTCTCCTAAACACCCTCTATTTCCAGCCACCCACTCCTGACATCCCTTGGCCATCCTCCTCAAGTTTCACCTTTGTTCTCTTCAAGCTACTAATTTCCCCCTGAAGTTCTCAAGGGGGAAAACATAAGGATAATTAAATGTCATGGGAAACTCAGTTTTTAAATGAATATAAGATATTGTCTATCTTATGTGGGCTGTCAATTCTAGGGATGCCAGAACTCTTAATATTTTGGTCTTAATCCAATTGGGTAGGTACAGAAGACCTTCAGTTTATTTACTTTCAGAATGCAAAACTCAAGGATGTTACAACTGCTCTCCCCTCCTCAACAATGCTGCTGATTCTCTTTGGTGAGCTGTTGAGCAGAGGGCCAGTTTTAATGCTTCTACCAGGATTCATAGTATTCTGTGGGAAGCCATTGGAGCTTCTGTTTTTCAATATCCCTATCAGGAAATCTTGGGTTCTGGTTAATTGTGGAGAAGAATGGAGAGAGAGCATTTCATGACAAGTGAAATGAGTTATCTCTGCTATTAGGGCTCCAGGTGGGTGAGAACTGCAAGCCAGACTTCATTGGCTTTCCTGTATTCAGGCCATAGACACACCCTGGAATTACAGGGGGGCCTCTGGTCCAGAGTCAGTTTTAGTGTTGGGAAGAGGCCAGTTATTCACCAGAAAGTAGAAGCACAGCCCTGAGAGGTCATGAGGTTTTCCTCCTGCTCTACCACTGCCCCCACTCCATTCTGTGACCAGAATTGGAGGCCACCCATTGAGAGTGGGGAGATCTAGCATAAATTCTCTCATTCCTGCAAATTCTGACAGTCCCATGTCAATGGTCTCCAATAGCAGACCAGAAATTGCCTGAAGGCAGAAGCAATGTATTATCCATCTTGGCAGTCTCCATGGTGTCTCTTTCCCATAAAAGTTTGCAGAAGGTAATGAGTGACACTAGAGAAAGGTTGGCTCAGGTCACTTGCCATTTCTTACTTTTCTTCTGCATATAGGAGTGGATAATTGAAAATTTACATATGTTGCAAACATTTCTAAAGAAAACAATTGTCCCCTAATCCTATTCTTACACACACATAGTATGTCACAGAGCTATGTCTCTTACAGTGCTACTATTTATTAAGGGGTGGGATCGCCCTTGAAATACAGGAAGAGTCTGTATATCAGCCATCTAGGGAAAAGAAACTATGTTGAAAGTTAGGATTTAAGTTTACCTCTTTCTGGGCCTTGCTCTCTTGGGTCTAGATTGTAGTTTGAATGTGTTAGGCAACGTTCCCAAGGGTCAAAGCTAGAAGCAAACACAAGAGAAGAGCTTCCCTATGGTCCTCAGGGGAGATCACACCTGGAAACAAGGGCACCACACCTTGTAAACTACATCTTGGAGTTCAGTATTTTCAACTTTTCACACATTTTCCAATGTCTGGAAGGTGTTCATAATACTGTCATTCTTCTCTCTCCCACTCACATATAAGAAGAAGGAGCGAGAGATAGAAACATCAATAATGAGAGAGAATCGATTGGCTGCCTCCTGCAAGCCCCACACTGGGGATCACCTACAACCTGGCATGTGCCATGATTGGGAATTGAACTGTGACCTCCTGGTTCATAGGTCAACGCTCAACCACTGAGCCACACCAGCTGGACTCACAAAATATTAGTAAAATGATGACTATCGTTCATACTGCTGTATGATACATAGGAAAGTTAAGAGAATAAATCCTAATAGTTCTCATCACAAGAAGGAAAAAGTTTTTTCTTTCTTTTCTTCTTACTGTATCTACATGATAGGTATTAGCTGAACCTGTTGTGGTTATCATTTCACAATATATGTAAGTCCAACCATCATGCTGTATACCTTAAACTTAGACAATGATGTATGTCAATTATTTGTCAGTAAAACTGGGGAAAGAAAATAAGCAAGAGTGATCTTTCAATAGGAATAACTGAATTCACTCAGTTGTATAAGTAAGCCTTTCAAAAATTCCAACACTTACCATTGGTGACAAATTTCTTGATACTTAAAATTTAGAGACCAGTGTGTCTCAGAGGACTGAGAATGCTGATTTGAGTTCTTAATGACTGCCTTTTTCCTTTGATTACTCCTGAGACCTTAAAATGGGCTCTTTGATACTCCAGCCCAGTGTCAGTTTGCTATAGATTACAATGGGAAGGGATATTTCTGAGGAGTGTTGAGGCTGCAACTTACAGGCACCGCTGGGAACATGCATTTAATTCTACTTTTTTCTTTTTAAAGGATAATCCCATAACCCACGACCTCTGTCATCCAAATTTCTGTGCTGACTCACTTCCTGATCGAATTACACATAACCTACATTTACGACTGGTTGCATAATTACAATCATTTTCAATAAGTCCTTGCGTTCCGTTCACATTAGTCCACTTCCCCTGCAAATTCCAGCCCTTAACCTACAACTTCCGGAGGGTTTCCCTAATTTAACTCCACCCGCCCTGATGACAATAACCTGGGTATTTCCTGAATGGTATGCTGGTTTCCGTGGATAGTGCTCTGTATACTTTCCCAGTTTGATTACAAGGTACGGGAAAGGCCCGGAGTCCTATCGACAGGAAGGGATTCTTTCCGAAATCAGTAGGAGACCTTCTCCACTGGGAGCAGGAAGGGAGCCAAGGGCGGGCGCACACTAGGAGCGAGAGCGCCGCACGGGCCTGCACGCCGAGCCCGGCAGCTCAGCGTCGGAGGACGTGGACCCGCGCTCTCCACCCACCTGTGGCCGGCCGGGTCCCGCAAGGCTGGTGCTCAATTACTGGGCAGCGGGCAGTGGAGGAGCGGGGCAAGGTAAAGGCCGCAGAGACATCCAGGTTTCGGGTCCCCTAGTCCGCGCCAAGAACCGGGTTTCGCCTGGCGGATTGGCTAGCCGTGACAGTGGATTCCAACCCCTCAGCCAATCAGCGCAGCCCTTGGCTTCTTTAAAGGGCCCGCGCGCCCGACCTAGGCCTGCTGTGTTCTACACTTGGCACCAGGAAGGGGCAGGTCGAAGAGGCAAATTCAAAACCCCAGCGACTGAGCTGTCAGATTTTGAGGGGAGGCAGAGGACGCAGAGTGACAGTCTCACTTAAAAGCTTCAAGTGAACTTTGTCAGTAACCCTGTTAACAAAGTTCAAGTGAACTTTGTCAGTACATGAGAATCCATGTTCCTGTGCCCAGCTAAGCCTCGATAGACTTTAATGAGCTGTTTCACTGTTATTCTCTAGAAATGGTATCAACCACCACTGTTGGATCTGTTTCCAGGAAGAGAATGTATCTTGTGAGAGGTTGTCACTTAAACATATAATCCTTATAAACATTTTTAAGGGCTTTTCTACTGGCAGAATAGATTTAATGTTGAGGATGGACAGGAAGCCAGAGAAAGAAGGAGACAGGTGGGTGCAGTCTATAGAGGCAAGCCTCCTAGGGACAATGACTGACAGGACAAATGGAAAATATCCAGCACACCTCTTTTACAACCTTGGGTTTATCATTTTTGGAAGTCCTAGTTCAAAGGAAAGAAATGCTACCACTTGAGGACACAGCCATGGTTCTATTGAATTGAAAGCTGAAATTGCCCCTGATTATTTTGGTTCCTCATAGTGATAGAATTGGGATGACTGATCCCAATGACTGAGAGGAAATTGGGTTGCAGCTATACAATGAAGGGAAGGGGAACTGTGCATGACCCCCAGAGATTCACTGGACCCATCTTATTCCTCCCATCTACAATAATAATGCTCATTAGATAACTGCAGTAACCTGATAAAGTCGGGACCACTTAAATTTCAGACCATGCAAAAATTAAAGTGTAAAAAAATCCTGATTTACCCCGGTAGTGCATAAGGCCAGGGAAACATACGTGAATAAAGTAGGAAGCTTTGATTCTCATTTTTAGCGACAAGTTGTAGAGGCAGGGATTATTGTAGCTCTGCATACAAAATGTTAACTGGTTATAACCTCCCTGGCCCCTCTTTCCCTGTTACTTTGCATGAAGTGTACTGGTGGAAACAAATATTATAATTTAGTTTCTAGACTACACCCAAATTGACATCACCTCAAAGCAATTTGATGATTGGTAGGATTCTGTGATTCTCATGTGCAGGGGATAAACTTCTCTTCATTTGAACAAAGGGCAAGAATAAATCTGGGGTGGGAAAAATAAGTAGACTATCTGGGTTTTCTCTTTGTCTACCCTCATATTTACTCATATTTATTTTTCTCCCTCCCCTGCCCTATTCTTTACCCCAGAAGCTGACCTTTTTGGAAAGCATCACCTGGGCTCTTCTTAGCTGGGTTTAAACAATGGAAGCATCAGGACATTGGAGGCAGGAGGAAAGAGAGGTAGGATATGTTTTATCCATTCTTTCTCTGTTTCGGTGTAAGGATCTGGCGGTGGCTGTGTTTCTCCACAGCTGCAGCTCTTGACCAGAGGTCTCTCCTCCATGGCTCCAGCTCACACACGTGCCCTTGACCCTGATCGAACCTGTGACCCTTTGGCTCTAACCATTGAGCAAATCGGCCAGGGCATCCTCCCTTGCTCTTTAGTCTAAAAATGGTATGGGCTTCCTGCTGTTGCACCAAGACTCTCAAGTTGATGGTTCTTAACTTCATCTTGATGGTTGGGATGCCTCAGCTGGATGATTCTCTCAACCTTACCACACCCTTTAAATAGTGTCTACATTAATATCTCTTTACTACATTAATATCTCTTTAGTCAAACCAACTGAGTATAATTCTGATTCCTGATTGAAACCCAATGGATACACTTTAAACTGTATACATACATTATAAATACTCTTGTATGTATGATAGGTTCACAACTTTGAAATATAAGTGAAAAAGTGACTATGAGAATATATACCCTGGTAATTGATATATATATATCATTTTTTAGAATGTGGGGTAAGAGGATTAAAAGAATTTATTCCAAATCAAATTAATATAACTTTAACTGGTATATGCATTATTTCTAATTGTATAAATGTGTGTGTATATGTTTTTACACACATGTACAAATATTTGCTTTTAAAAAATCATTTTGCATTATAGCATAAGGATTTTCATGTTAAATAGCATTCATGTGTGTCATTTTTAACAGGTGTCAGATTTCCCAGAAGTATGTATACAATTCCCATTGTTGGATATTTCTGATTTCTTTTTTGCTATTGTCAATAGTATCATGATGACCATCTTCATATATATATATAGCTTTTTAATATTTTGATTGGAAATACTGGGTTAAATAATATAAATATTTTAGAATTGATGTAAAATCCTCGACTCATTGAAAGTCTCCTACCCCAGGAAAGGAAAATTACTCAATATTTCCCTTTATATCCATAAAGTACTTCTTTAAAAAAACAAAGTTTTTGAAAGCTTAAGACATGCTTAGAGGTATTTCTTCTTAACAGAGATGCTGTTTCAAAGAGTGTGAATATCTCCATTAATATGGGAACCAGGATTAGCCAAAAACCTCAGTCTGTTATGGAGGGCAAGTAGTTGCACAGTGTGTGGGACTGAGGCTAGAAGATCTTCAATTAAGCTTTTCTGGAATGGTGTTTCCCATGCTCTGGGGAACATGGTCTGAATTTTAACCTTACACTTCAATCATGGAGCACACCTGTAGCCTGGACATGGTCTGAGCTGGCAAAGCATTACTGAGCTTTGTACAAACCTTGTGTGGACTTTGTCCATTCCTCAGCAGTGATGCCAAGTGGCAGTGTAATATAATGGCAACAGTGGACAGGAAATCTTGTTCTCTCCCTACCTAGAAAATTTTAAATTGAGATTTAATTCACATACCATAAAATTCACCATTTAAGTGTACAAATTAGAAATCCTTAGTATTTTAAAAGGTTGTACAACCATCGTTGCTATCTAATTCCATAACATTTTCATCACCCCAAAAAGAAACCCTGTACCATTAGCAGTCACTCTCCATTCTCCCCCTTCCTCTAGTCCTGGGAAACTCCTACTCTGCTTTCTGTCTCAATAGATTTTCCTATTCTATACAGTTGTTATAAAAGGAGTCATACAATATATGGCCTTTTGTATATGGCTTCTTTCACTTAGCATAAAGTTTTCAGGATTCATCAAAGTTGCAACATTGTTTAGTACTTCATTCCTTTTGTGGCTAAGTAATAGCCTAGTGTATGGATATACCACATTTTGTTTATCCATTCAAAATTGATGAACATTTGGGTTGTTCCCACTTTTGTGATGTTATGAATAATGCTGCTATGAATATTTGTATACTAGTTTTTGTACATATGTTTTCAATTCCCTTGGGAGAGAATATGTAGGAGTGAAATTACTGAGTCATATGGTAGCTCTATATTTAAATGTTTGAAGTTGAACAAATTCATAGTGCCACCAGGTGTGAATAAGGATACTAATTTTACCACACACATTGTACAGTAGTAAGGAGCACAGACACTGAAGCTGTAGTACCTGGAATGGAATCCTCAGCTGTGCCATTTCCTAGCTATGTAAACTTAGATCAGTTACTTAAGCTCTGTGCCTCAGTATCTGCATCTCTAAAATAGAGGCAATAGTTATAAAGGCAGTGTTTATTAAAATACATTTCATTTTAAAAATTGAGCTATTAGGTGTTACAGTAGATATATATATTCTTTGGGACACCCTGTATATTGTCCTTGGTTTTAATATGGAACAGCATATTAAAATATATACAGGGTGGGGCAAAAGTAGGTTTAAAGTTATTCATATGGAAAATAATACAATAATTAATAAGTAATAATATAAGAATAAACTCTGTTTCACATACTCACAATTGTAAACCTACTTTTGCCCCACCCTGTATACCATCCTTGATTCCCTTTTCTCCCTTACTTCTAATATCCATCAATAAGTTCTGTAAGTTCTACTTCCAAAATGTGGTTTACAGCAACAGCTCCTAAAGGTCTCTAAGCTTCCTTGCTGGCCCCTCTACACTCTAGTCTTTAGACCACAGTTAGAGTGACATTTTCAGAACATTCATCAAGTAACTCCCCTGCTTTACCTCATCCAGCGACTTTCCATTGCAATTGAATCAACCTCTTCCCTTGGTTTACAAGGATCTTCAGGATATGATCTGATCCACCACTGCTCCCTTCACTCTACATTCCAGACACAATGACCTTCTTTCCAACTTTGTTCCATCCTTATGATTCCTCTGCCAGGAATGCTTTTCCTGCAGATCTTTGCATGATTGTCTTCATAACTCACGTCTCAAATAACACCTCTTAGAGAAGCCTTCCCTGGCTACCATAACTAAAGGAGCCTCACATCCAGGCATTATGCAATATTGGGTCACCAATTTTTTTTCTTTTTTTAAATAGGACTTTTTAATATCTAAAATTTTAGTTTATTAGTTTATGTTTGGAATCGCTTTCTCTTGAAACTAAGAAAGGATATCCTAAGAAAGGATATTTCTTATTTTCTTTTCAGAAAAAGTAGAGGAAAAGAAAAAACTACTCATTCTTTCATGATAGGTCTATAGTCATGAAAGGCAAATTGATTAGGTTGATGATCCTGTTAACCCAGGTGTGACTACAATTGGTTTTGAATAACCACTTACTCATAGCAGAAAACAAAACCCATTTGTTCCCTTCAAAGCAAGAGTTTTGAACACTTTTAGACCTAGAACTCATATTGTTCTTGGTTTAAAACAATTTCTGGAGGCACTTCCACAAGAGCCATTGAACTTACTCATGTCCTTAAACCAAGTGAAGTGACTCACAAGGGGACTGTCATTTCTACAACATTCAGTTAGGTTATTTAGTTCTAGGATATTAAATCAATAAAACATTTCCCTTTATCCTCTGAAAGGATATCTCTATTTTTCATGGCCTTCAATTCATTTATTGAGATTCCTTA